AGTTCTTTTTCATTCCGGCAGAGAAAATAGGACTGAAGATCATTACAATAACCACACAAGACTAGGAATGTAATTATAAAATAAACCATACTCTAGCAGGCAAATCATTTTAATGTGTTCCAAGAATTGAATACTCTGTGTAGAATTAAAAACAAAGAAAAAAAATTAACGTGCAGAAAATTAATTAAAAAGAGGTAAGACATAGAAAAGCTTCGAGTGTCATAAAATTACAAATACAAAGGCAACAAATTAAAATACACACACATACAATTACAGATTTCGATAACATTAGTAGCCAGAACACTCCCAATGAATTATTTAATCATCAAATATCTTACTAATTTTGAAAGGGGGCTGGTGGTGGTGATGAACTTCAATTGATCCAAAGGACTTTACCTTTCCTTCCCTTGCGAGCAAACCTGTAAAGATGGTTAAGTAATTTTGAAAAAGTGGAGTTCCTTTTCTCAAAGAAAACTGATATGAAAAGGTTTATCCCCTCTGCCTCCCTCCACCACCAAAATGTATACATTCGTTCAACTCTTTTAACTAAGGCAACCAAAAGACAATTTCTTGAGACCCCCAAACACCCTCAGAAGCTGCTGATTCCATCCATGTAAGAAAAGAAAAGAAAAAAAAAGAAAAGAAATGAACAACCCCCAAAGCTGAGGACAATGATTCTATAAAGTGCAGGATCGTTCACTGTTACAGCTTTTGTGGATTTCATGTGAAAATGTCTTTATTTTTTTATTATTTTTTTTTTAAAGATTTTATTTATTTATTTTTTCCCCCCAAAGCCCCAGCAGATAGTTGTATGTCACAGCTGCACATCCTTCTAGTTGCTGTATGCGGGACGCGGCCTCAGCATGGCCGGAGAAGCAGCGCGTCGGCGCGAGCCCGGGATCCGAACCCGGGTCGCCAGCAGCGGAACGCGCGCACTTAACCACCAAGCCACGGGGCCGGCCCTGAAAATGTCTTTAAAAGAAGGGGTGGACGGGAGTGGATCAGACCCAGCCACGCCCTGGGTCAAGAAATGGCCTGCCTGAGAAAGGTGATGAACGGATCAGTCCTCAGGGTCTTTCAAACCCTGTGCACACTGCTGAGGTAGGAGCTTCGCAAGAATGCAGACCATCTTAAGGGCGTTTGCGGCCTCATGGCAAATCAGCACCCTCTCGCTCAGTTGGGGGCCTAAGATGGTCCTACTCAGGGGCCACGTGTGACCTTACAAAATGCGACCATTATGTCAGATCGCAGCCCCGTAGCAGAGCAAGATCCAAGACACAGCCACACGCACCGGGTGAGACCCTGGTGCTGACCACAGGGCATTTGCTGTCCAGTGCAGGCTCAAGGGGGTGGGGGTAGGGGTGAGGTGGAAAACCACAGCAGGCAACCTACAAAATGGTTATTAGCAAATGTATCAAAAAGTATCAAAAGAGTTAAAAAAAACGTTAAAAACTGCCCAGCTTGGCAGAGACACAGGGCAGATCTCCCAGTACCCGTGGAGCTGCTCTGCCCCCCAGAGGTTTATCCTGGAGCCCAGGACACTGCCCCCTCCCCTCTGAACACACTCAGAATCCAGAGACAGCGAGATGTCCAGGCCACGGCCGGACCTGCCCCTCCAGGTTTGGGACCAGCGGTCTGAGATTCGAGCCAAAAGCTTTGAGAGCCAAAAGCCTGTGAGGTGCTGCTCAGGCTGCTGCTGGGCAAGCCGCACGCCATGGAGGGCCAGGGTGAGGACGGAGGCTGACACCTCTACAGGGGGCGCTGGTGTGGTGGGGTCCCTCCACCTGCCACACTGCTGCAAACCAGCAGGTCACGCTGGCTTAGGGGCCAGGTAGTCTGAACCACAGGTTAACTCACCTGAACTCACAGACAGGACCCTGGACCTCAGAGGAGGGACTCCACTCCCCTTTGGTGTTTGGGTTCCCACCCAAAACTGAACACCCCTTAGGGCTGGCTTCTGGGGTTCCTACTACGTCACCATGAGGTCACCTTATCTGTAAGGGGCTGGGGGAGGGGCGTTGAGAGTATAAATACACATGAGGCTTCCTGCTCAGATCGAGAACAAGAAGTCCTACCCGGAAATCTTTCTAAAACGCCAGAATGCTGAAAATACGGATTGGGCCACACGTACAAGCAAGTTGCTGAGACAATCTCTGTGCATCTTATACAGCAGAAAGACCACTGCAAGTAACAAGGGTTCTTCAGCTTTTCTCTCTCCTTCCCTTCTGTTATTACGATTATGTCTTAAAAGCAGGGTTCCAACCTGGGGGAGGATCAAACGCAAAATGTACAACTAATATGAAGTTAAAACTCTAATTCTTTAAAAGTGAGAAGAAAACAAAATCTGAATGAAAGCCCACCATGCTTATGTTCAAAGATCAAAAAAACGGTCCAGATGTTCTCAAAGGTCAAGCAGAACAGCTTGGAGCACCAACAGTTTGACACCATAGAGGCAGACGTCGCTGTGTTTGATTCGAGACAGCCGCCTGCAAGAATCCGGCCTTCGTCACTTTGGTTTGAAGCCACATTACCGTGATTTTGCAGTTCAAGTGGCCACCTGCATAAGTACATCCCCGAGCTCTGCTCATCTGAGTTAAAAACCATTTTCTTCCATTCTTAGTTGGACCGCACAGCAGAGTGATTTCCGTCTTAAAAACGTGGACAGCAAAAACCCACCATGGGCCCACCACTTTGCTTTCCTGCGAACAGGCAGGCACTCCCCACCGGTCATGACATTCCTTCCTATCAACCCCAACGAGCTCGAAAACCTTTCTTAGCACGGTGGAGTTTTCTTAGCACCACTTATTTGAAATTGCTCCACAAGTGGAAACTTACTTATCAACCCTACCTTTAAAGGAATGCTCTCAACCTCACAATATTAGATTCTAAGCCACGTAAATCACGAACCGCCTTCACAGCAGCAGGAGAGACATCAGGAAACATTCGTGCAGGACACTGTATGTAACTTGTAAGGCATAAGAAAACCAGAATAGAGACCAGCACTGCGCCTTTTCCTGGGGCACACCGTGGTCAAAAATGAAACAGTTGGTTTAGGCTAAAAATTGACGGCTGGCCTCTCCTCAAGGTCAAAGCCATCCTGCTCCCCAAGATACGCACAGAGTCCTTCTGTGTCCTCCTCCCAACCTGCCCCTGGATTCTGGTTGAACGACCACCTCTTTGTTGACAACCCAGGCTGAGCTGGGAACAGAACACAGGTTCCATGCCTTCTAATGGGTCTTCAAGGAATGAAACCTTCCCTGGAATAAGAAGGAGGCAAGCTATCTCAAAGTTGGCAGAGGTTCTGCAAAACATGTCTTGTGGACAATTGGACTAGGCGTGAGACAAAAAAGTGTTCCAGGCTCCAGGAAGTTTGGAGATGCTGGGTTGATGGAAAGTTAATAGTTAATGCAGGACTTCTCAGAGCCTTTAATACACACAAGTGTTGTGGCGCTCCAAGAAGAGTGTACAGGTTTTTGGTTTGTTTGTGTGCCTTGCAGAACCTCTCAAGTTTGTAAGCCTCAAGGGACTTCCATACGCAAGGAACTAGCTAAATACGCAGACTGCTCGCCCACCTAGCAATAGAGGGCAGTAATTTGGGTACCAAAGCTTTCAACTTATAAGCCGCTCTCAGCTTTCCTGGTCACTATAGAAACAGGCCAATCAAAATCACAGTCAACCTTGAAGGTAAAAGAAAGGAAGTGCAGTAAAGAGACAAAAAAAAAAAGACAAAAAAACCCCAAAGAAATTAAGTTAACTGATTCTAGTATCAATGCTAATAAATCCTGAAGTGTTCTCATCTCTGCCATCAGCTCTCTGCCAAGGAACAGACCATTAACGCCTCCCCTGGCTCATGATTAAAACCCATCTCACTCCACCCTCCCATCATCCTTGTGTTACACAGTGGCTTGGGCAGCAGTCTCCATTACTCTTTCAAGGGCACACTGTTGATGCCTGTTCTAGTAACTGCAGGAATCAACACAGGGCGGGCACACATCTCACAAGGAGGAGCTGAATGCATTCTAATAGCTTATATAGACTGAAAGAGCTTAGCCCCTGGGAGGAGTCTGGCGAGTATTTCATCTAAGCCTGTCGCTTAATGAATGAGCGAACGGCTCAAGACTTGTTAAAGAATTTGCCCAGCAGCACAGACCTCTTGGACCAGGATCTGTCGCTTCAGTCAGGGAGACACTCACAACCTTCTTAGGGATCAACACGCACTCATTCATGTAAGAGCTTTCAATGGCTTCTCAGAGTCGGAGTCACAGAAAACAATGGCAAATTCTAGGGTGCTCCCTTTTCCTTTCCTGAGAAATAAATGTAGATTTGGGGGCTCAAGTACATCAGTAATATAAGAAACAGTGGGTTCAGAAAAAAAAAATACCAAGGAAAAAAAGCACAAATCACAGAATAATGTTTATAAAAACCATCATGCCTTTTTTCCTTCCTTCCTTGATTACCTATACCCTTTCAGAATTCGGGAAGATTACCAACCAGGAAAAATAAGACTATTCAGAAACAGTAGTCACCTGATAAGAAAATCCCAGTGGGAACCCATCCCTGGTGAGAGTGACCCTCGGTCACTCACTCACTCTCTCGGGGTCTCCATGTCCCCACTTCTAAAATGAACGTGCTTGACCTCGCCAGTGGTTCCCAAACACGGCTGATGGTCATTCCAGGAACTGGTTAAAATACAATTTCCAGGCACTCCCCCCGTCGCGCCTGGTAGTTTTAGATGTGATCATTCTGAGATGGGGCCTAGGAAGCTGTATTTTTAAAACCTCAGCCAGGTTTGGGGAGGCAAGGACTAGGGAATCTGAAATGTCCCATGGAAGCCTCTAGTTTCACTATGAAAATCTGTGCACGACCCCCATGCTAGCTACTCTCAGGGGGACAGCTGGGGGTACCCACAGGGATCCGCAATGTGGGAAGAAGCCCTGCACAGACAGAAGGGCATAGTTCCTGCCTGGGCCCAGGTTTAATTATTCAAGCAAGATAATATGTAAAGTTCCATAGAACATTTAATCAGTTACTGTGATATCATAGAAATACCAAGACTCATAAAAGTAGAAAAAGCCGCTAAGAAGTAGGTGAGGGTGCGGGGTTCCACGCGGGTGCTGCTGGTCCACAGACACTCTGGGAGGTGGCGGTGGGGACAAGGTCAAGGTTGCGGCCAGGCGCAGGTGGGGTCACTGGCCCCGGTCCTGGGGTCTCTTGCCCTTGCCCTTCTTCTTCTTGTCCTCCAGCCGCGGCTTCAGGGCGCACACGCAGGCCGACACGCCGGCGATGGCCTTGGGCAGGTCGGTGCCTCTGCTCCACCTGTCCTTCTCGCGGTCGTACACCTGCACCGTCTTGGAGAAGGCCGTGTTCTCCCAGCTGTAGCCGCCCAGGATGTAGATGCGGCCCTCCCACACGGCCACCCCCGACTCGCTGTTGGCGTGCAGCAGCGGCGCCACCCGGGTCCACTGGTTGCACTGCGGGCTGTAGGCCTCCACGCCCAGCACGTCGAAGCGCTCCATGGACTCGATGCTGTCGTCGCTGCCCCCGATGGAGTAGATGCTGTCCTCCAGGCTGCACATGCTGTGCCAGCCCCGCGCCGTGGTCATGGGCCGCCGCTCCTCCCACACGTCCGTCCGGTGGTCATAGCACAGCAGGTTCTTGCGGTAGGGGCCAATCTGGTAGTCGTGGCCCCCTGAGATGTACACGAAGTCTTTGTAGATGGTGCCCGCATGGCCGTACGTGAACCTGCGGAGAGACAGACAGATGGATGGAGGGACAGAGACAGAGAGGGAGCTCAGCGCTGCACCAGGCTGCACCTCCGCAAGCCGGGGCCTCAGTCTTCTCCTCTGCAAGCTGGGGACAACCTGCCCTCTGAGGTGTCATGAAGATTTGAGGGGACAATGCAGGGAGCAGGCACCCCGTGCACACTTTACAGAAGGCAGCTGTGGCCAGACAGGAAGAGGCAGGCAGACCGCCAGGGCAAGCACCCCAGCTCTGCCCCTTTGTTTCCCCATCTGAGAAGTGGGGATAATCACAAGACTGTCACTGAAAACAACAACAACGTGCTATTGAGGCACACACATGGACCCGATCAGATTACATATCCAACGGGGAAGGAAAATCAAGTGCAATACCAACTATATGACACTCGGGAAAAGTGAAGACTACGGGGGCAGTAACGGATCAGCGGCTGCCAGCAGTTTGGGGGACGGGGGAGGGATGAATGGGCAGAGCACAGGGGACTCTTAGGGTGGTGAAACTATTCCGTACGACGCCACGACGGTGAACACAGGCCATTATAATTTGTCAAAACCCACAGAACGTACAACACAGAGAGTGAACCCTAAAGCAGACTACGGACCTTAGTTAAGGCAGTCTATCAACTCTAGGGCATCAGCTAGAACAAACGTAGCGCACTACGGCAAGATGTTAAAAATAGGAGAACGTGTGTGTGCTTGAGGAGAGACCATATGGGAGCTCTCTGTACTTTCCGCTCAATTTTCTGTAAACCTAAAACTGCTCTCAAAAATGAAGTCTTTATAGACAAAGAAAAAAAACCACAAAACAAAGCACAAACAAAGGTGAAACAAAAAGGGAACAAATGATGTCACAAAGTTCAGGACAGTGGCTCCCAGCAGGAGGCAGGGGGACGGGAGGGAAAGCACCGGGCAGACGGGAGTCACCGCTCACCGTCCCGGCTCCCGGGCTGAACTGTGGGCTGAGGTATAACTGAGGTCCTGTTATACAAACAGGTCAATGGATGAGAAAAGGTTGAGTAAGTAAATGAAATAAACGTGGGGTGTGCATGCACTGAAGAGGACAGCATGATGGATTACGTTTATTCCAACTCTGTTCACCTAAGGTCCACGTAGAAAGCAAAAACAATAATTGAGTTGTTGCAGCATTAAAGGTACATAATGCACACGGCTGCCCCAGAGAAATGATGGCAGCAGACGTTCTTACCACTGGTATTAAGCCTCACTTCTCCGTCTGCAAAATGGGATGATAAATAAAGCACCTAACCCTACAGGGACTGCAGGGCCTGCCCCATTCACTGTCCTCCTGGTTTGGATGATAAATTACATGGGCACCGACCTCTGCCCCACCAGGTTACTGAGATGTCTAGGGACTCGTCACATGAAGCACCCGGCCCGGAGGTGGCATGGGGCAATCAGTAGCCAGGATCATGACCTTCAGATCATCTTATCACAGGTGCCTGGTATTACTCCACTGGCTCCTTGGAACCTCCAAGAACGCGGCAGTGACTGGGGACTGGAGGAGCTGGGTTCACACCCAAACGCTTACCCCCTACACTCTCAACTCCCAGGGACAAAGTCCCGAGGTGCCTGGATCTGCTCCACGCAAGCCTGGTTCAGAAAGGGCGCTTGCAGGTTCAACGACAGGGAACCAGTGAAACAGACGGCATGCCCCTTCTGTCAAACCTGTCACGAGAATCAATGCTTAATGAATGCACACCGTGATGCTGGGAGACAGACGAGAACCAGACGAGCTCCGGGCCTTGGAGCATCTCCTGGTGCTGGATGCCGGGGGGACTCCTAAGTGGTTTGTCATCTCATCCTCCTGACAACCTCTGGGGCAGGTGCTCTCACCACGCCCACTTGACAGATGAGGAAACAGAGTGGGGTGAAGGCGCGTGCTCGTGTCGCAGATCTAGTACTGGTATCCCCCCACCTCTCTGAACAACTCCTGCCCAAACTCAGAGAGATTTCACATAAATCAGTGCCTGAACTTAATACTCACTCCCTGAGACTCAGGAAGTGAATAGGCTGGGAAACTGAGGGATGTTTGTCTAGCGGCAGAGCTGACACCGCTATTATTTACAAGTGAGGAGATTCTTTCTGGAATTGGAGGCCAAAATATCCAGGGAATGAGGTGGACTCAACTGTAACTCAGGTCGTCACGTCTGAAGAGTCTGCCACAAAACCCCCAATCACCTTGGCAAGCCGGCCACGTAGGACCAGGAGTCGGTCCTGGGACTGTAGGTCTCTACCGAAGAGAGAGCTCCATTCTCGTTCCGGCCCCCGACGGCCACCAGCATGTCTTCGACGGAGGCCAGGTAGAAATCCACGCGGCGCTGGTTCATGGAGGCCACCTGCGGAGGCGAGACACCTGTACCTTCCCTTCCCCATCCTGGGACAGCACCAACATCTAGCACTGAGTTCCCCGATGCGTTCTGGGGAACACACAGCCCAGGGAGTGAGGCAGTGGTCAAGCGAGTTTGGGGGAAGGGAGCCAAACTTGAAGAAAGAGGGTTCTTAGGTGGGGCTTCTCAGAGCCCCCAAGAACCCTTGAGACATTGCCAACTCCCAAGAGAGGGATGGAGAACACAGTTCCCCAAACTTGTTTGGCCAGGTGGCCGACCTCATGGACTTGAATTCTGCAGGACACATAGTTCAGAATTGCTGATGTCATGGTTTCCTGGAATAAAAATTCATCTTTCTTCTCACCCCCCCTCAGATATTTTTTTAATTAATGCTGATTGCCATCCGTGTTAACAGGCAGAAAGTGGCACTCAACAGAAAATTAAAAAGCAGAAGAGTCAACTCTTTTTTTTTTTTT